TCAGGGGCCGTGGCGTTGTCTGGGAGGAATGGGAAGCGGGAAGCACAGCTGGCTGGGTGGGGGAGGGCGCAGTGGCGCTGGCTGGGGAAGATCAGGAAGAAGAATGGGCCGGTGGGAAGCAGAGCTGGGTGGTAGAGAAGGGGGCTGGCCAGGGAAGTTCAGGAGGGGGAAGTGAGAGAGAACCGGCCAGCAGGGAAGTGGGGGGGAGGAGAGGATGAGCAAATTGGCCGGCGGGGAGCGGGACTGACCTGGGCACTTGCTGCCTGTCCCGCGCAGGCTCCTGGTGACGCACGAGTGAGGAGGGGCTTCCCCTCCTCCTCACACTCAACCAACTGAGGGCTCCCGACAGCAATTGCGGCCCCGCCTCCCAGCTGGGACTCTCAGCTGCTCCCCCCGCCCATGCCAGGTTTCCGTCCAGTGCGCATCCAGAAAAGTCAAAAAATACCGGACATTGCACATGTCCGGTATTTTCTGATTTTTTTTTACCAGATAGAGAGCACAAACACCAGACTGTCCGGTACAATACCGGACAATTGGCAACCCTAGTTTTAGACTCCTAAACATTTAAATCCCTTTGGAAAATGAAAGAGCTCTTAAGTTAGATGTTACACTGATGAGGGCAACCATGCCTCAGTACTTCTAAAAATGTGGCGCTAGCCCCTTTCACATCAACGGAAGTATTTGAGGTGCTGTACAATGAGTCATGGTCAACAAAGACAAAGTCTTTGCTTCCCAACAGATGGAAGGAAGGCAGGATGGTCTTGTGAGAGTCTGGATACTTGGATCTCTTCTTGTCCTGCAATGAAGTTACCGGGTGGCCTCAACAATAGCTCCGTGCCTCCACTTACTCCATCTATAAAACAGGGACAAAACTTACCTTTCTCACAGGAGAAATTAAATTAACCTCACAGTGCTTTGAAAATGATTATTGCTAAAGAAACCTAAACAGTTGGGAGAACAATCAGAACTTTCACGGGGAGAATAATCTTTTCTTCCTATATTCAGAAAAGCCTCTTTTCTCGCTCCCAAACTGTTAACAGCCTTAGATTTACAGGCCCCAATCTCAAGTAATATTTAAAATAAAGGCCAAGATGAAAAGTGCTCATCAGCATGATCTGTTTCCCTTAAGAGTACTACTTCCTCTTTCGCAAAGCTCCTATTATCTAATGCTTCCTCTCCATGAAGTTTATATGGTTATTTCAGAGATTTTAAATTGCTGGAGGAGTATTTGCTTTTTCTAATATCTTTCTCCATCAAAACTGCCTTTTCCCCACCAAGCTTCTGAAATTGTTCTCCAAATTGTCCTGTTTTCTTTTATAAGAGCAATGTTATTCACCTAGACCCACAAACATATCTGATATAGCCATTTTGTCTTGGTTACAAATAGTACTTTACAGTAGAGTACGTTCACGGAAGCGACTGGGCAGCCACATATTCTACAGGGAAGATCAAATATTTTTTCTCTTTAAACTAATCCAAACCCTTTCACAACAGTTTATGCATCAAGTTTGGAGGTATACAAACTTTGGATTATCTATTTTCCCCTAGACTAGTTAGAAGGAATTAATGAATGAAACTGTTGATTCATTAGTATTCGCTGTCTTAGGGATACCAACAGACTAGATTTTTATGATATTCAAACAATTTTCATTTATGAAAAAGCTCTTAATTTTCCCTGTCTACAAAATAATCCATTTTATTCTATTTTTCTCCTGATAACTTAAAGTATTTGGTTCTTTCCATTTTCCATAGGTGATGAGTCTTATTTTTCCCTTCAAGAGCCTTTTAAAGTTACTACTGCCATGTTTCAGAAGAAATAGCAGATGACAACACTCTTAAGCTGTCTCACGATTAATCAGTACTCTAATTGAAAGCATTTATACAGGGAAACGGCCCTTCCCTTTTGTCATACCCTTCTGTTTTCGTATCTTCTTCCTGAACAAGAAGGATGACAAAGATCAATATTTGTTTTCACCGGGGAATCCATGTTTTCAGCTCTGAGGCTGATGTGTAAAATCTAAATTTCTAGCAGTTAGAACAAAGGAATGGTTAAAGTAAGGCAAGTGCCAACATATGTTCTCCCATTTTTAGAAACAAAAGCAAAAAAAATTTAAAATGTCCTTAGTTATTCCAATAAAGTAAGCTTACTTGGTCAGAAATGTATATAGTTGCATAACTACAGAAATAAGCTCTCCCTAAAAAATCTTAAAAAACAACAATGGTCCTGGTAACACCTTAGGGTATGTCTACACTCCCCCGCTAGTTCGAACTAGCGGGGGTAATGTAGTCATCCGCAACTGCAAATGAAGCCCGGGGAATTCAAATCCCGGGCTTCATTTGCAGGAAGCCGGCCGGCGCCATTTTTAAATGCCGGCTAGTTCGAACCCCGTGCCGCGTGGCTATATGCGGCACGGAGTAGCTAGTTCGGATTAGGCTTCCTCATTCCACGCGGCATGGGGTTCGAACTAGCCGGCATTTAACAATGGCGCCGGCTGGCTTCCTGCACATGAAGCCCGGGAAATTCAAATCCCGGGCTTCATTTGCAGTTGCGGATGACTACATTACCCCCGCTAGTTCGAACTAGCGGGGGAGTGTAGACATACCCTTAGAGACTAACCAAGAAATATATAGATAGTATCATGAGCTTTCATGGGCACTACCTATTTCTTCGGATGAAAAATATGGACAAGAGGCATAGAGGTTCAAATATAAAGCAGAAAAAGGGGAAAAGGGAAGAGGAGAAAAACCTGTCAATTAGGGCACATCTACACAGCAGGGCTTAACTTGAAAAAAGCTACTCAAATTGAGCTACAGCAATTGCATAGCTTATTTCAAAATTAGAAGCATCTACACAGCACTTATTATGAAATAGAACACTCATCCTCCAACTTCCCTTACGCCTCATACAATGAGGGTTACAGGAGTCAGAATAAGAAGTCCTCCAGCTTGACAGTATTTTGACATTGTTTCAAAATAACGCTAGGTATTTCAAAATAATGTTGCTGAGTAGACATATCCTTAAAGTGTCTGTGCTAAATGAGGCTAATAGAGTAGGCTGTAAGTCTAATACTTACCTTTTGATGTCATTTGGGTGTTGAATATAATGGCTCATCCAGTTCATCTCTTTGTTCAAGCCAGGAGAGATAGAGTCAAAATTGTATATGGAGGCCAGTTCTGCACACTCTCTCTCTATTTGATTCCTGAAATAACTCTCTCTAGTTAATCTCTCAAGAACCATAAGGTCTAGTCAAATCTTCTGTCACTATTTCCTATTCCAATATTCAAAATTTGTTGCAAGAAGATGCAGAGTCACTAATGTAATCTCCAGCCACTAACTTAATGTCTTTCTAAGGGATTTGAAAAATGGATATACACTCAGCTTAAGGTTTTGTACTACTTATAATTTATTGCACAATAAAACCAAGTAGCATTTTTTAGCTTCTGTGTATGGTACTATATTGTATTTTCAGGATCTTTTCTAGCCCCGACAAATAGGCTGCATCTCTATTTCCCACACATGATATCAGTCCTATGCCATTCTGCACTGTGAAGATAAAGTACAGGATTGTTCTTGATGCCTTGTGTCTTCAGCCTCCATACAACTATAAACAACACCTACAATTTCTCAAATTTTTGTTTTACACTTGCTTTTTTCCCCAAAGTGCTGCACTCTATGTTTCACCATTATTCATAAGTGTTTCTTTGCGACTCGGCATAGATGTTCTGGGGTTGGGGACACCGTAGGCACTGCTAAGGAAGAGCAACTCTATACAGCATTCTCCTGCAGCAACTCTGGTGATTTCCCAGTAGAAATCTATGAAGGAAACAACATGCTGTCTGCAGCATTAATTCTCTGAGCTGTAACTGTATCCCTCTGTCCCTTGGGAGCTTCTTGAGCTGTATTGGCAGGTTGAAGGGAAGCATAAGGAGGCAGGGTCTCAGAATAGATGCTCTAAGTTTACTGAGATGACACTGAGTTTCCCCTATGAGTCTTAAGCTTTACAAAGTTGCAAGGCCATGTCCCTGACCCTTCATACATCCTTAAAGTCCTTCACCCTTATAGGAGAATGCAGCAGCGTCTCCTAGTACCAGGGATATGCATTATGCTGACAAACTTGTTAGCTGTCATATTTTGACTAACGGCATTAAAATGACTTTGCACCTCATGCACAAAAGGTAACTCTAAATTTAACTATCACCAGTTGACGTGCTGCTCACCATAACAATCCTTGACTGTGTGGATATCATGTTAATTAAATTGTGTTCATTATCATACTCAGTGTATACAGGGCCTGAGTTCTGTTTCTCCTCCAGCTAGCTTTATAGGGAGAATATTTAACCTTTAAACATGGAAGCAGTTTGCCTTGAAAAGCCTTATATTTCATGACAGTCTAAGTTAAGGGTGTCAAATAAATTTCTCAGTTCCCCAAGTGGGCCACTTATTAATTTATCCAACGAACAAGACAAAAACAGACTGAAACCCAACACGTGTCTATAAAGCAGTGTTGTCCAATCCATCTACTCAGCATGGATTTCAGGGAAATTGAGGAAACGTGATGTGGTAGGGGGCAGCAGAATGGTGGTTGGTTCTGATGGGGAATGAGAAAGTGAACCTTGGCTCTCATTTTTTATCCCAGCATTTTGATGAATACAATAAAGTGTCCCATTGATCTGCTGTAAACAAGGTACAAGGAACAAATGACACAATTGTCTCAGTGACAGTTTAAAGCCAGCAGGAAAACTTATGTGTGCAAATTTAATACTGTAATCTTCAAAACTATTTAAAAATTTTGTTATCCCACACATAATGCTATTCAATTTTCTTCACAAGTTTGTTAGAGGAGGATGGTAAAATGATAGTATATGTAATTTTTTACTTGAAATTACTTGAAAAACATTAGCTGCCATGTGAAACAACTTCATATGGAAATTAAGTAAGTATAAAATTTTCAATAAGAACAAACTAACAAATCAAAAAAAGTAAACAAAACAAATCTTACTTGCAGTCGGTGTCTCCTACTGGCGACAGCGTTCTCCCAGATTGTCATGCAGGTCCTCCCAACAGGGAAACAACTCCTGGGTGCTGAAAAATGAAGTAGTGGTTAAGAAATCTTTGCAAACACTTCCTGTAAGACATATACATAAATTCATCCTTTTGTTTATAAATTCCGGTACAGTATAGAAAATAACTATGGGAGCTAAGAGCATTCCATGTCAAGCTGACTCTGCCTGTGTCGTTTAATACACTCCAGAGGAAATGTTTCTATATACACTAGAAATCTGGCATATAATTGTTTGGCAAATAAACAAGATCTTTATTAAGAGATGAAACTCCAGTACAAAAAGTGATGTGAAAGTGGGCTCTAAACCAACCACAATCAGGTATTCATAAGTTCAGAATAAGACAGCTCCATTTTAATGTATTGGTGTTGTTTTATTTTTCTAAGAGTTAAAATGGAAAAAAAAATCCCACCCACCCACACTTGAATCCTGCTTTCAACAAAGTCAATGGTAAATGAGCCCCCATCATTTGTTATCTTACAAGCAACTCCAGATTTTTATGTTTTTTGTATTGCTTTGAAATATCTTCCTAGGCCAGAGCTTTTTGGAATTTGTTTCCTTAATAAAAGGAACGAAGATTTCTCCTGCCTGTTGATATCCTACAGACTGCACATTTAAACACTGGTGTTATTCTACAAATGGCTTGACAGGCTCCAGCATAGTCCTTCCCCACCTCCTAGGCACCATATGATAGGCTAATGCAGAAGGAAAGTAGGATCATTGTTTCCTCCTTTGGGATTATGTGTGCACCCTCCTTGTTCCCAGGAACTTACAAAGGGAGCAGTTCCTGCATTCCCCAGAACTTGGGGCTATAACAATGACAAGCCCTTAACGAGCTTTTATTAAAAGGAACCATGTCATGCACAAAAAAATCTTGTTTCCAAATGTTTCTTTATCAGGCTTGGTTATGGGGTTATTATTTCTTTGATGGTTAGCCCTCCATAGAGAAAGGGCTACTACAATTTTTGAATCCAGCTATTGGAACTGACAATTAGTGAAATGCCTGTGTGTTTGTATGTACCTCGAGCTCTTCCTCAACTCCCTTTGCTAAATCAGTTCTTGTGAGTTAGTAGAGGATTGAAATTAACAAAATTAAAGCTGATGGGCTAACAATACTAGTGGAATGAGCAAGCATAACTGTATTGCTACCAGCAGCAGAAGTGAACTTTACCACCCCGTGATTCTGAGGACTATTAAAAGACATAAATGGTTAGCTGTTAGGACTCAGAAGAACAGAGAATGTGTCCTCTGCACTGGTTGGGATAAACACTCCTTCTGAGGATCCAACCATTTCCCATCCTCCCACTCAGAATCCTACATTTTCTTGCTCACCCTCTCGTAAAGAGAATGCTACATTCCTGATGAGGTTCCCCAAAACCTGACCTGTGAACTCTTCTCTCTACCCATAAAACCTCATTGGCTGGCCTGCTTGCAAGCTCCTCATCTTTAGCCTCTTAGGCCATGGCATCATGGGTATGTTCTTTTTCCTGGCATGAAGGAAGAGGTAGGAGCCAGAGGAGGCAGAGCACATCAAGCAGGCCAGCCATGAGGGATGGCTGTATGATGGGATCTGGTCACAGAAGACTTGTTGGGGTGCTTCCTGGAATGCTAACAAAGCCACTGACACTCAGCTCCTTGCTCTCTGGGGCTTCTAAACACTCTGTCCTGCTGGGCCAGTTCATGGAATCTCCCCCAGCCAAGTCACAGAGTTGAGATCGCCCCCCCACCCGGAGGAGCAATACTGGCACTGAAATACTTCAGGTCTGAGAAAAATGACAAAACTGACTCTCTACAGGTAGGGTTACCAGGTAACCCCCTCCCCCCAAAATACCGGACACACTTGAACGTGGGCATGGGAGGGGGGGACG